TACATATACCACTATCTTTACGTATTTATCTTATCTTCGATTTTAATTTGTTGTATCAAACATTAGTACGTAAGTATAGGTCATCAAAGCAAAGGCCATAGTTAACGTTAAAGGTTTACACAAAAAAAACCTAACATATAACATATACTTTCATAGGAAAGTTTGAATAATCCTCTGTCTGATCATTATTCTTGTGAGAAAACGATACTGATTATGATATATTGAATTATATCATAAAGTCAACACCGGATTTATTTTTATTACATTTTATTCAGTTGGTGAACTGTACAGTCGTTAATAAATCTCAGATGAAATTTAGCAGACAATTATCATATATTGTAAAAATTTTAATAAATAATTATATTCAAAATAAGTGTTCTAGATGATGAATTCGATTGATGAGACATAGATTATTCCAAAAGTTAATGAAGACTAATATATGAATATTCAATATCATTAACTGCCATGTTTCATGGTTATTTGATCGAAATAGTCAGTCGTGTTCCATTGTACTTTTCTTATCGAATGAATTGTAAGTTGTTATGAATCAGAGCTTCTCATGGACTGGATTGATTCGATTTTGCAATGAGCGCCCATGGACTATCCATGTCAAAAAAGACCGAAAAAAATCTGATTTTTATCAAATTTTTTGTTCCGATTAAAAATCGGTTTAAAGGGTGGTGTTTCAATTTGGTTTTAAGCAGATCATTTGATTTTTTTAATTCATTTAAATTGATTATATACGTCTTCATAGTTTTAATCGCAACGATTTTAAAACACGTTTTTCTCTTGTTTTAAGTTCGAAACTCAAATTTTGATTGGTTTCGCTCATACCTTGACTCAAAAAATGATAAGTATAATAATTGACTTATCTTTAGTACTCAAGTTACGTTTTCGAGATATGCATTTCAAGTTAAACTTATTTAAATGACACAAAATATCGATAAATAAGATTAGAATCAATTATTTTGTGTTCTAGTTAATTGAAATATGTTTTTCGATTTGATAGTCACATTCCATTAAACTTTGATCGATTTTTCATCAAAAAAAGAATCAATCAAAGTCAGATCTTTTTTATTTTTATCACATAGGTTACGAGCTTTAACCGATAGGTCAATGATAGTCTAGAAACAAAATCTTAAATAAAACACAAAATTCTTTAGTAGCATCGCGTAGATCACTATAAAATTTCTTTCTTCAAAAAATTTCATTTGATCCTTTCGTTGATTCAAATATTTATGCAATGAACAGCAAGTAAAAATACAAAAGAGAACAAAGAAAAAAGACAAAATTCACGTAATATTTACATTAAAAAACTTTGGTTTTATTCAACAAAATGTCTTTATCTTGTTCTCCTCTTTAACAAACATAGTGTAGTTAAATCTATGCAATAAAAGAATGTTAATGATGATAAATAATCTTGACCAGAATAACAAATCAAACCATCTTTGGAAGAAATCTTTGCTAGATGTACGATCCATGAGCTTGGTTATTCTTGAAGGAAAAATCATTGGTGGACTAGGTTGAAGTTCAGTATTCCTTAGATCAAATTTGATAGGTCCAGCCCAGTCTATTCGGAGCTGTTCTATGAACTATGAATTTAAATATCGCTATATTTTATATTCTGATTATATGTTATATGATTGATTCAATGTAAGCTGTTCTTATAAATATTCCGTACATTCTATATTGGAAAGCAATTATGAATGATTCTTTAACCCTTTACTAATCACTCTTCTTGATTAGGATCTCGAAACTTAGATCAAAATTGATAATAACTGATAGTTTCAGTCAGTCATGTGTAACTATGACATGCAATCAATAAAATATTTTCATTTGTGTCTAGTTAATCAGGTATTGTTATGTTTAATTCAATAGGGTACGATTATCAATAATGACAGGTAAAATAAATAAAAAAACAGACAATAATCAATTTATGAAAATTGAAAAATAAATACTAGGTACAGTTTCCATCTTGTGACTTTTCTCAATCTAATGATATATAATTGAATAGAAGAATGCAAATGCAAACGTAAACAGGAAGAGCAAAGCTAATCTTTAAATTTTCTGCATCGATTAGACAGGACGAACAATATAAGCGAGAAAAAGCAGTAAGGATTAGTTGTTTTACTCCCACTGCTTTATAGTATTCTTGATAAAAAAAAAGAAAAAAAAACTTAAAACCTTTCTCATTCATGATAGTTCACTCATTTAGTTTGAATTTAATGTGAAGAAAGTTAGTTTAACATTTAAGATAGAGAATAAATTAAAAAATAAAATAATACCCTACATGTAACTAACAATATTTAATCTTTCATTTAAAAAAGAATAACAATATTCATGTCATCAAAGATCGATGTTGTACAAACAAAGAATAATACATCAAATGAAAGATATAAAACAATTCTTTTTGACCAGTAATTAATAATTCAAGCATCTTTTTGTTTTGTTTATTTTTAAACACAAAAATTGAGATACTTTTTATATGATCAAATAATTATTAGTTAAAAAGAATCAGCCATATCAATAATTTTGAACTGTAATCTAAAGAAAATTTAACGTCTACATATAGAAAATATTACATCCTACTCCGAAATCGACCAATCCTAGATATAAGAAGAAATGTGACAATTTTATAAAAACAAAATAGCTACCTCTTAGGTATCATTTACAATGGTTACTCGACACTCAGCCCGAAACTTAGTTAAGGGCAAACAAAAACTTTCATTATTAAAAAAAATACAGCTTCAAATTACTTTGGATCCTATTCATTGTCTAGATTTAAATAATCATATCATGAGGTTGATTATACACGAGAAATCCTAAGCATGAAGCATTAATATAAATAAGAAATTAAAAAAACAGTTGGAAAATTTCAACTATCTGGCTTGTAAACAACATTGTTGGTTATTATACTTAACGGATTTTGCCTCAGGACATGTTCTAGATGATTTCTCAGTATTAAAGATCAACATAAACCGTATTTTCTCATATATTCATCCGATTACTTTATTACAAAATAAAAACTACATGAAAAGCAGTGTGAAAAAAAGGAACCAAGGACTATTTTGAGCAGTCTGCGATAAGTAGATGTCGCACATTGTTAAGCTCATCATTTCTAGATAAATAAAATAATTACAATTAGAATTGGACTACAAATAGATATTACAAATCAGATATTCTTTATAAAAATTAAAACATAAGATTTCATTTTAAAAATATATCCGTGCGCATCATATTTTGATTAGTACGACAAACCAATCTTATTTCCTTGAAGAGAAAAGAGAGACAAGCATAATAAATAATAACTATGATTACATATATAAGAACGACGTCAATGTTATTGTCGCTTTATTATTTTTATTAACCGTTGTCACAAGAAAAGAAAAAAGAAACAGGAATGTTGTTTAAATATTCGTTGATTTTTATCAATTCAGTTAAAATAGATGGGTAATACATTAACACCAATACCAAGTACAGTTTCATTACCCATATTTGGGGTCGGTTTGACAACTCTTTGCTTAAGTTTATGTTTTTGCTGTTATTTATGGCGGTAAATTTTTGTTTTTTTCTCAAAAAAAATAAATAAAATTATATTTTTCCTTATTAGATTAAGACGAGATACACTTAAAGAAAAAGGTTATCGAAAAGATCAATATATGCGATGTAAAGTTAAAAATTCCGTAAGTTTTTATTCTATAAGAAAAAAAAAAACAAAGACATTTCTTTTATTCTCTTCCTATTCAGAATTGTGTTATATGTTTGGATGATTTCTATGATGATGAAGAAATAGCTGTATGTCCGTGTGAGCATGCATTTCATAAACGTTGTCTATCGCCATGGTTACAACATAATTGTACATGTCCTATGTGTAATATGTGTATTAAACCGGAAACATCTGCTTCATGTCAATTACCCGATATAATTTAACATAGATCAATGTAATTAATCTCTTTTATTTTCTTCTTCTTTTGTTTTTTTAATATTTAGTCAGTTATATTCAGAAAAAAAATATTCTCCTGCTCTACATCTATAAATATCTTATTTTTATTAATTAGAATGAAGAATATCATATTTCTTTCTTTTGCCGTTTTAATGTTTGTTTTGTACATATATATATATATATATAAATATACCTTGAAATACAGTGCTCAAAATATTTTTGATGAAATAAACTTGTATTTAATCAATAATTTTCAATTTATAATCAGCAGATATTATTAATAGAAGAATAAATTGATTTTTTGTTTTTGTTTTCTTCAAAATAAACATGCTTATGATTGCATGTTATTCGTACTAATATTGTAAATACCTAGAGATTTTTTTGTTTTAAAGACACCTTTTTTTTTTTGGTTAAAGGACAAAATGGATAGGGTGTTGTTGTTGATTAATTTTTTATCAGATTTGAGAAAATAATATCAAGATACTTGAGATCATGTTTTGTTTTTTGAAGAATCTTAATTGTAAAAATGCTATTATAATAAGAAAAAAAAAAAGTTTCTTGGCATGCTATATTATACTGAGTACTGTATATAACTTCAATCTTACATAATAATAGCATGCAATATGACATCAGATAAAATATTGTCTCATGTCACTTGAGAATTTTATATGAACGCCTACGTTTGAATAGAAATTTTGTATTATATGCTGCGAACTATTTTCATTTAATGATATACTTGTAGAAGCAAGAATGAATTTAATTTAAGTACTAAGTTTTATTTTTAATATACTGAATCATTATGAAGTGAGATACTTTATATATAAAATTATCTTGATAGTCTTGAAATAACAATTGTTTTCTTTTAATAATCTTTACAATCCGTATGATCAAACTGTTTGTTTTTTTCTTTTTCATTATATCTTATTGAATGAAACAATTGATTTTAAATATAATTTCTATATGATATTATCACCCAAAAAAGAAAAAAATAATTTGATTAATACTTAGTAGAAAAAGAAAAGTAAATAATTCACAAGTTTACAATTCACTTTTATTTTTAAAGTGATCTTCGTTGACGTTGACTTCTTCTTGTAGGAGTTTTATTCTCTTGTGTTGACATTAATTTTTGCATATATAATTGATGTATTTCAAGTAATTCATTACGAATACGTAAGTTTATTTTTTCATAATCAATTGATTGAGGTTTAATTTGATCGACAATAAATGAATGAACAGTAACTTTTGATGGTTTATAATCAAATCCTGAACGTGATTTATTAATTAGATATCGACATATGGCTGGATACAAGCCTAATTTTAATAAGTAAGTGTTATCTTTTTTCGTTTGTCTAATTTTATTCTTAATAATATCTTTTAATATTGAAGGTAAGCGAGACAAACCATCATCTTCAAAAGAAAAAAAAATCGTTAAAATTTAATTTTTCAATCTAAACTTATCAATAATTTTCTTTATGTTTAAATTTGAATCTTTGTTATTTTGAATGCGTTTATTCATATAATAAACGCTATTAGTATAAACTTGAAATTAATCAATATAAGAAGTCTTAAAAACCTGTTTTTTTGACAAACTGTATATGAATTTTATATCAATTCACATTTTATCACAATGTTATTTCTTTTTTTCCGAGAATAATATCAAAACAAATGTTTTTTGTCTGTCTGATTTTTGTATTGTTCGTATTGCATTGCATACCTTGATTTTTTTATGTAAGACATTATTATCCTTATAGTCCCTAATGGTAAGAAATGAATATGTCACAATTCTATATCATTCATATTGTGACAAGTTCATAATATGATAAGTAAAATAAAGAAGAAAAATATTACTCTTCTCAAACAATGATAGGAAAAAAATTGTTTACTATTCTTTTTTCATTCAAATAAATGAATAACTGAGAATTTTAATATTACGAAGTCGAATGTTTAAATCATATTCACCTTCTTCTTCTTCTTCTTCTTCTTCTTCAATCACTGTATCATTTGTTGTTGTTTTCGGTATATTTTCATTTGTATCCATTTCTTCATTTTCATCATCTGATGAACTTTCTGAGTTGTTTTTACTATTAATTGAAGCTAAATATGAAAAGCAAAAAATTTTCAAGATATGAAATTTAATAAATTAACTAACAAGTTTTTTTCTTGTTTTCTATTATTGTCGAATTTTTTGAATCAACAGATACAATATATTCATTTGTATCTTCATTTTTGTTTTCATTTATTTGAATAAAACATTTACAACCAGAACAATGTTGATTAATGATTTTTTCTTGTAATTTTTTATTTCTTTCTTTTAATTGTTTATATTTTCTATAAAGTTTATAATCATACTTGTAATTTTTCATATCATGATATTCTTTAACTATTTCGCTTGTTAATACATGAAGTTCTTCAATACGTTTACGTGCTTTAGAATCCATTGATTTAATATATATATATATATATATATGAAAATTAACTAGATATTAAATAATGAAATTCACACAATGATAAGTGTTTAACTTGATATAGATAAATGTTTTGAAAAATGATTTTTATCCATATATGATATGATACGATGAAATAAAATTTAAAACGAGGTTTCTTTGTTCAATTTTTAATCAATAGATGTCAGTCTCAATTTTTCATTTTGATTAAAAATCTATTCGGAAAAACAAAAAAAAAAAAAAACATGAATTTTTTTAATCGAGGACAAAATTTTTGGGTCTTCTCTTGAGAAGTAAAGTAAGATTTTATTTTTCTTGGAGTATGCTTACATGACAACGAATTTGTTCATGGAGAGAATAAGAAGGGCGGTTATTGGCATCTGTGTTATTTCTTTTACCGCAAAATGAAGTATCAAGTAAGTAAAAGAAAAAATATATTGATTAAAATATTTTTTGGTGGAATTTAGACAGAATATCAACGAAATTATCAAAAACGAACACCGCGAAAAATTGATGATTATACAAATGTAGAACGAAAATTACATGATGGTTTTGTTTTATTTTATTTTATTTTATTTAATAATTCTTAATAATTGATTTCATTTCA